GTGTATGTGCTCAAGCACATGCACACTCTTCACTAGTTTTGCTTCTCTAGAGAATCTAGCCTAAGACAAGAGGATACATCAAAGCATGAAATAATAGAGTCATCCTGACCAGAAGTCTACATGGAGTATTTGAACACACACACATCAAGACAAACAAAATAAAATGCATATATACTTTCTGGCTTTAAGTGACTGAACAAAAAAATTGAACAAAAGTTAGTTTTCTATGTACAAATAAATTAAATCAAAATGTGTAATACACATCTTTAGTGATACTAATGATTAAGCATAAAATATTATTCTCCTCCAATAGAATATTGCATAATTATGGTTCAAGGTAACTTAGTAACTTAATCACCAGAACATTTACATAGATTTTATTTCACAGAACCAAAAAACTTAAGGGTCACTGATTTGGAGCTTGAAATGCAATTTCTTCTTCTGAAAATCCAGTTATAACGTACTAAAACTCAAAATTCTTTTTTGGGGGTGTGGAGGTTGAATGACTTTCAGAATAGCCTGCAAGTTGTGAATAAAGAAAAGCATTGCTATGTTTATTTAGAGAGTATTACCCCTTGGAGCCAGCATTTGCACTAATGCATTTTACATTAGCGTGCCGCATCAGGAAATCCTGACTTTTTGGTGCCAAGGGGGTAATTAATATCAGTTCATGTTTTCAAAATGGTTGTTGTTTATGTGGGAATGAGGACTGAGCACTAACATGTAGAGCTTGAAGTATGAAAGCTTGCTGTGAAGCAAGATCTTGGGAAAGAATGGAATACTGAAATTAATGAGCAGGAAACAGGATTTCTATGGATAGAGTGACATTAGTACTGAAAAGACAGCCACAACCATACTTCCCTGTTCTTAACTTACTAAGAATTAACAGAAATAATTCCCTAGTACAGCTATATTCATAAAAGAGAAGATAAAAACATGAATAGCTATAACAGCATTTTGATCCACTGCAGGACTTCTGAAAAGTTACAAAATTGGACCACAAGTTACAAAATTGGACCACATGTATACAATACCAAAAACAAAACAAAATCCACTGTCACTGATTCCAACTCATAGCAACCTTATAGGACAGAAAACCCTCCATAGGGTTTCTAAGACTAAAATTTATGGAAGCAGATTGCCACATCTTTCTCCCTCAGACCAACCTCTGAGTTAGTACTGCATCACCAGGGCTCCCACATGTATGTAATAATGTATGAAAAATAATCACTATTCCAAAATAGTCTTCCATAGCTTATAGTGTTACAGCTCCTACAAACAAAAACAACAAAACAAAACAAAACGGTTTATATTGATCCAAGCTGAATAATAAGAGCCACTACAGGTGTAAAATCAAAATGCTTTTAGTACATCAATTTTTTTTTCCCCAAAGAAAAGTTGAGAGAGAAACTAAATCAAATTACACACATCATATAGTGATAGCCAGAAAACTAAGAAAATAGCAAGGAAGTGTGATGGAAAAAATCAAAAGAAAAACTCTAAAATGATATAAAGTCAAATAAAAGTTAGAAACATAAGAGATTTTATGCGGTCTTACTTACCCAATTCTCAAAATAAGCACTCAGAAAACATGCCATTTATAAAATCTGTAACTATACAGATACCAGAAAGATTGTAAATACTAATTTTTTTTTTAATTTACTAATTGTGTTAATTGGTTTTTAAATATGGCATTACTGTTCCCTGAAGTGATGGAAAGCAAAAAATGATCTTCAAGGAAACAGTAAAGATGCTTGTTCTATACTATTAGCTAAGAATATGAAAGAATGTATAATGTACATACACATATAGTATCTAATTTATCATTCCTGAAAAATATGAAGCTATACAGAGTATACCACGGAGTAGTATTAGCTGGTTCTCTACTACATGACACTACATTAGCAAATGGGCTTTGCTGGTATAACAAAGAGTCCCCAAAATACAGGAGCTTAATAAAACAGAAAAGGTTATTTTTCTCTCGAGTCAAAGTCCAAGCTGGTGGACACTACAGAGGAGATTCTCAGGGCACTTCCAACTCTACCCAGTTATACTGCCAATTTCTACAGTATTTTTCCAATCTCTCAGGTCAAACTCCCAACTAATTTACCATGTTCCAGTTCATGGAATGAGAAAGAGAAAATTATGCATTTTTAAGGGTATGATCTAGAATCTACACACATCACTTCAGCTCACATCCTACTGGCCCAAACTTAAAAGTCGTATCTACCATTAAAGGAGACAGTTAAATATAGTCTCTAGGGAGGCAGCCATGTACCCTCAAAAAAATTTTATTTTTAAAAGAGGGGGAGAAAGAATATAGGTAGATAATCAGTATTCTCTAACAGATTTCAAGAACAGTATCTAGTTCATGTTAACACCAAATATACAGGATTTCAGGAGTAGAAAAGTCCTTACAGATCATGCAAGGTGCTGTTTTAAGGAGTATTTACCTTTTTTTGAGATACTTAATAAAATATTTGGAAAATAAATGATGTTCTGTTTGCTTCAATTTGTGGGTGGGTGTCTCTAGATGACACAAGATTGGCCATGAGTTGCTAAGTGGCTAAGTTAGCTAACTGGTATATGAGGGCTCCCCACTTTAGTATACACTTGAAAAATCCATTAAGAACTTAAAATAAAGAACCAAAAATAATGTGCCACTGAAATGCTAAAGAATTCTGCTAACAATTTAATATCAAACAACTAACCTTGCACACACTTCAGTATATTCAAATATCGATCAACAGTCATTCTGTTCTGTTCTTAGTAATTTACTATTTTGTTTCTTGAATTTCATGTGATAGTATATTTATTCATTATAATACATTTTGACAAAATTAAATTTTCAGTTTTATAATATATAATCTGTATGGAAATGTCAAATTTGGTAGAAAGCTACTGGCAAAATTATTTTCTTACTAGGTATCAAAGGAGTAAGGTAATTTTTGTCACCGCCAATAAAAAACTTTTACGAAATAGGACTGTTATAAAACAATTAAACCCTGCAAATGCACTAGTCTCCAGGAAGAAAGTCCTAGAGGAAATTCTGCTTATTAAAATTGCAATTTTAGTTTCCATTAAAAGGAGAATAAGACAACAGAAGATGGGTTGGCAAGACAAATTATTTCTTAATGTCAGTTGAGCTTATTTCAAATGAGATAACATATCTACACCAGGTTGGGTTCAGTACAATTTTGTCTCCTCAACTCATTTATCTAATTCAGTCATCTTGATTATAGCCTCATGGACTTCATTTTCAGAGAAAGAATTCAGTAACAAACAGCCTACACAACATGCTGATTACTGAACAGTTAATTCTAATTAACTTGGGCATGGCAAGAGAATTTTGATAAAGTCCTAGAATACAAATTTAGTTTACTTATACTGGCCTAACTTATATAAAAATCCACAGCATAATCTCCAGATGAAACAAGAGAGTCAAAGAGATCTAATTTAAACAAACAAATGAGAAAATTAAAATCACAAATAATTTATTCTTCCATTAGAGTTGATACAGTTTTAAATAGCAACAAAGTACACAGTGGTGGAAAATTGGCACAGAACCTACAAGTATTTCAATCACAATAAGGCTGTCCATGCTTTATCTGTTCAAACCTTGATGTCATTTTCTACTGACCAACTTGGGGAAGAAAAAAAAAAGCAAACCTATTCTGACATTAAAAAACACACTCATTCCTTCTCTCTGTCGCTCTGTCACACTCTCTCTCTTGCGCTCCCTCTCTCTCTCTCTCTCTCTCTCTCTCTCTCACACACACACACACACACACACTGAAATTCCTCTTTTTGATTATGTTGAGAACAGCACGTTTCGCTTATTCAAATATACCGTACCCCTTCTGTTTTCGTTTCCAGTTAGAGGTGGGAAAAAAAAAAAAAAAAAAGTCAATTATAAAGAATTATAAATCTTATTCCCTGGGCATAGGCAACTGTGATGAAAATAGCAACTTACCTTTGGGCTACATGTATTCATATTATGCCTAAGTAACTGTGGTTAAAAACATCTCTATGCATGCTTTCCTGCCCAATACAATATCCCTGAATTTAGTTAAAATAACCAGGCACAGGACAGTCTCAAATAATGATTAAATACGCCATGCTAATAAACAAGGTGATCTAGCATGCAAAACCTTTATGCTTTTAATAAAGATCAGAATAAAACCTCATCAACATCTCTCTCTCTTACATGAACCAACATAAAAAAAAGGAAAGCATAAAAGTGTCCTGTTATAAATGGCATTAGTTCCAGTTAAGAAAGTTAAAATAAAGATCTGTAGTCTCCTGAACTATTTTATTATATAAGCCAATTATCCTTGCAATGTTAAAAAATAAAATTACTAGATCACTGTTGACTTCTCTTTGATATCATTTATAAAATTCTTTGATATTACTTACTAAATTCCCTGATTAGTCAAGGTAAAATTAATACTTCCATTTTCAGTTATTGCTATTTTAGGGGAGGATTACCGTTTCATTTACATGAAACTGCTATCAAAGATTTTTCAGATCCAACATGAAGTAATTATTGCCTTACATTTTAAAACTGTACTATAAATGATCTTTATAAAAAGATTTTAATGCACAAAACTGGAAGGCTTTTAAAAAATGTCCTTTTACTCAAAACTGTATCACAGTGCCCTTGATTATCTAATAGATAAAAGGGATTTGAATCTCCTCTATAAGAACATAACAGTGGACATATGGTGTGCTTTGTTTTCTCCCTCACCTTTATCTTTATAGTACACCATTTTGAGACCAACACAATCAAGCATCTACCATGCTTCAATCCACGTAAGAGGATTTCTGATTCTGCCCAGTGCGTAGTGTACTGCCTTGCATATTCACATGAAATAAACATAATATACAAAATATTGCTGCTGTAAAAAGTGTACATTTCCCTCTTCCCCTTACAAAAGAATCTGTGGAAAAGTATTAAATTCCCTTAACCTTCATAAACATACAAAGCTGTTCACACTTTTCAGTCTGTAACAGTCCATTTGAAACAGTTCCGAAATCATTGCAAATTGGTTATGTCATTGTATTTTCTGTCCAATGTTGCCATCTAGAGTAGAAATGTGAAATCAAGAGTATTTTTGAGCTACTAAAGCCTTTTATAACTAAGCCACAAAGGCTGCTTACTGAAGAAACGGCCACTTATCCACAAAGTTTTTCCAAACACTAGATGGAATGAAAGGATCTCTTCACAGGGAGGTGTCCACAGTGCTGAGGTGACAATATGGCTGCTAACAGGTACTGGCTATTGGAATGTAAGTACTTTTTCACTGCTGGTAATTTCCATACTGTCCCTAAAAAATAAATTATAAAAATATAATTAGATTAAGTATTTGACCAAAATAGTTTAGCATAGAAAATCCTAAGTTATTTTTAACACTGTCATACTATAAAAGCAACTGCCGCCTAAAACAAAAAATTAAATTTATATATGTATTTAGGTATATAGTATTATTCTATAATTTCTTGTGAAATTATATTAAACTGTAAATTGATTTCAGAACCCTAAATATGCTATAGACTACCAAATGGACTGTCATATAGTAGGAAGTGAAACAGCTGGTGAATTCTGTTGAACTCCATTAAGCAAGAATAAATGAGAACTTCTGTTTCTAAACTCTGATGTGGTATATACTAGTGAATAAATTATATGCTACTGTGACAACTTTATGACTGCTCAATTTATTATAATTGTTATTATGAATTAACAACAGCAAGTGGTAAGTGAGGATGGAAAGATAATTTGGAAATTGAGAGTAAAAAACCTTTCATTCATGCTAAAGAACTTGAGTTTTTTCTCTGAGGCCAATAAAGTGCCAGCAGAGGTATTCAGTCAGGCTGCTAGGACATAAAATCAAGGGAAGTTTGTTTTATTTTTAATAAGGTAGACTTGAAATCCCGTGGAAGGACAGGACAGGAAGGAAAAAGAAAGTAGAGACACAAAACATTATGATTAATGAAGTAGGAGAGAAGGAACATCTTCCTCTCTTGAAACAGAAGAAAAGTAGAATAAGAGAGTAATATACAGGCATACCTTGTTTTATTACACTTTGCAGATACTGCATTTCTTTACACATTGAAGGTTTGTGGCAACCTTGTGCTATGCAAGTCTTTCGGTACCATTTTTCCAATAGTCTATGCTGACTTCATATATCTCAGTGTCACATTCTGATAATTCTCGCAGTATTTCAAACTTTTTCATAATGTTATTGCACACTTAGTAGACTACAGTATAGTCTAAACATAACTTTTATATGTTCATGTGGTTTGCTTTACTGCATTTTTCACTTTACTGCAATGATCTATCCCCAACATCTCCTAGGTATACCTGTATACAAATGTATTTTATAAAATATTTCTTAAATGTATTTAAAACTTCTCGTTAGCTGCTGTCAAGTCAGCTCCCAATCACGCAACCTTATGTATAGCAAAATGAAACAAAACACTATGTGATCCTGTGCTAACAGCACCTATTTTCCAATAAAAGTATTCACTGGGAGCACATAATTAGCTAATCGTTTCCTTTAAATGTCCCTTTAGAAGTTATGTTAATTATTTAATATCAAGAAATTACTCTAGAGTTGAAATATTTCTGTACTGTAAGAAATGGTACCTTGAAAGTTTGTATTTCTAAAAAAGTACACATGCTTGGAAATCTGTTTAGTACCATGACATATCTAAAGGAATGTTGTTGCTGTTGTTGTTATGTGCCATTGAGTCGGACTGGACCTGACTCACAGCAACTCCTCCTTGGGTTTCCGAGGCAGTATCACTATGGAAGTAGATTGCCCAACCTTCCTTCCAAGGAGTGGCTGGTGGGTTTGAACTGCCAGCCTTATGGTTAGCAGTCAAGTGCATACTGCACTATGCTACCACAGCTCCATCTAAAAGAGTAACACACTATAAACAGAATTAAGGTATTTTATATAAAAATACTTCACTCAGTTTGTTCAAATTAAAGTCAATTTATCTTGAAGTATTTATAGACAATATGGTATCATATCTAAGATTTGCATTAAAGTATTCTGAAAACAAAAGACTGTGGAGGGTAGGGTGGATAAATAAAACAACACTGACAAACTGCTGATAACTGCTCAAGTTGGGTAATAGACTCAATATACTAACTCTCACTTTTGTTATTTCCTTACAGATTTCTAAAATAAAAAGTTTAAATAAATAAAGTCAATGTTTAGCATATTGTGGTTGTTAATTGTGTCAACAAGAGCTCATTATTCACCTGTTAGATTACCTAAATACTGAAGATGAGTTTACTAGTTCCAACTCTGTTGCTAACTTTCTATTTAAGTCTGAAAAAGCTCATTCAGACTCAGTTTCTTCACCCTTAAAGTGGGACAATAACATCTACCTCTCTGGATCTCAATTTCTTTTTCATTAATGGCTACATTTAATTCCTATTTCATTTGTTAGTTATTTAAATAAAAGAAAATATAAGAAAGCACTTTTGAAAATTAAGAAGAATGATAAATCAGTGAGCCTCAACACTGGAGAGAAATAAATGCTCCATTAAAATATGTGTACTGAGATAATGAGAAAAGTGAAACAAAATACAAACAACAACAACAAAAAAAAAACCCAGTGCCATCAAGTCAATTTTGACTCACAGTGACCCTACAGGACAGAGAAGAATTGCCCCAGAGGATTTCCAAGGCTGCAATCTTTACAGAAGTAGACTACCTGATCTTTCTCCTGTGTGTTCAAACTGCCGACCTTTTGGTTAGCAGTCAAAGACTTGAAGCACTAAACAGTAAAAGCCCCAACTGCACATATACATGATGTGAAAAGCAAACAAGAGATTGAGAACCACTGAGATAGAAATATAAGCTATAATTTATCTACTGTATTTTCAATTATTTGAGGACAGGGACTAGATCGTATCTGTTTTGATGTTTCAACTACTGAAAAGTACATAACACTGAGACACTTCAATAATATATGCTAAATAATTAATATCCAAAAAAAATTATAAACATGTAATTATCAAATATTATATACTCACTGTAATAATGAATTTGAAAAACAGAAGGCAAGATTTATAAATGATTGAAGTGTAATTACAGAATGTAAGATAACTTCTGTAAGAGTTCAGAAAGGAAAAGGTTAACCCACAGGCTGAAATAGTTAGAAAAATATTTAAGAGAATGTTGAAGCATTAAGCAAGTAGTAAGATTTGAAAAACAGAGGAAAGAGAAAGGGACAATTAAAATAGAAGGAATAGTTAAATCAAAGGCATAGAGGAAAAAAATATAGAGAATGCTTAGGAAGTGGACGGTAAGAAAGAATACACAACAATAGCTAAGTTCCTATGTCTCAATAACTAAGAGCTTATCATGTGCAGGCCACTGTAATAAATGCTGTATGCCCATCTACAATCTAGATGTCTCCATTTTACAGATGAAGATATTGAGGCATTGAGAGATTAAAAGGCCTGACTCACACATAACTGATCACACTGCTAGGACTAAACCAATCACAATCCAGCCCAAAAGGCATACTGTGCATTTGCAACTTTCAACAAATTCCAGTGTGGTATGAAAGTTTAAATATATGAGTTTTGAAAGCAGAAACCAACTTCCAATCCTAACTCCCTGATTTAGCAGCTTCCTGTCCTTGGGCATGTAACCTAACATGCCTTGAGTCTAGGTTTCTAATCTGACAAGTGTGGGTAATTTAGATGCCTACCCTCACAAAGTTATTCAAAAAGAAAAACATGAAAATGTTTTGCAAATGACTCAACTACTTATTAATATTACTGGAGGCAATGGTGTATATTGAAAAGAGCATGAGCATAATCTGTCACTCAAGATTTATCTTGTGTTCTACCACTTCCCTAGCTATGTCATCTTGGGATCTTGGGTAAACCATTCTAACTCTCTATGCCTTTCTCCTTTTCTTTTACTTCTAAGCTTTTCTTCTTTTACTTAAAAAAAAAACCCAATTCTTTTTTAATTACACAATTCTTCTGGCTACAGTGTACAGAATGAATGGGAAAAGCAGCAAGAAGATAGTTGGAGGATCTTGCCAGGATAAAGACAGAACGGTAGGTTAGGCATAAACGGTGGACTCAGGAGCTTTTTAAGATGGAGGATCAACAAAATATTGTCATTTATTAGATATGGGAGGCAGAGTGAGGAAGACTTATAAACTGAAAATAGTACTTGGCATTCAAGCTTGGTGGTGGTACCTTCCCTCTGATATATAGAAATGAGTAGTAGGTTTGGGAGGAAAAAATTATGAAAGCATGTGAGGAACACACTCAAGTCTGGGGAAAGAAACACCCAAAAGTATTAGAGGAAGTAATACCTGGTACTCACAGAGAAACAGAAATAGTGTCAACCCCCATCAAGCAGAGTAAAAAACCTCTTAATTGGCAGGGCACTGAGTACTCAAAAGAATCTTATCTTGCAAGTGGTAAAAATGTAGCCTTAGACTAAACATGCTCCAGTGGCTGCCTAACAAACCTTAAAAGCAATCCTTAGCTGCATGTGCATGGGCACTGGCTCATGGACTTACTTGCTCACCCACCTGAGGGCAGGTGGCTACCAGGCATGAAGTCAGAACACCTACTGTCAGAGAGAACTCAACAGATCAAAAACAATGGAAGAAACTGAGAAAGTTATCATAAAACTAGAATATCCCCAAAACACCAGACAGAGATGGTTATCAAGACATACTCCACCCAATCCATCTACAACAGATACCTGAAAACCCTGGAACTCTGAATATCAAATGAGGGTACGAAGAATTTGATTAAACACCAACTGAAAAGGGAGACTAGGCAAAAACAACTGGGAAAAGAAGTCAAGACCTGAAAAAGCATGGCCATTTTGAGACACATAAGGCATTGTATACAGGTGAGGAAAAACCAACCCACAGAATCTCCACTGGGACAGAGATGCAGTGTGGAGAAATTCAGAGTGAAGCAAGATGAACAGAACAGAATATAACCTAGTTATATACATGGCAAATAGGCAAGAATTCCAGTGGCATGGGCTATTGCAGTGTAAGGAAGGAACCAGTGAAGGGGGACAAAACAACTCACTACTAGTGAGCCCTAGTCATTTGGGTAGAGGGGAAGGCCTGTGGGGTGGCGACTGGAGACACTGGATTTCAGGCAGCCCCCATTTGAGTCCAGGCAGGTACTGGGTAATTTTGGCAGTGCTAAGAAATGCACTAGGATCACACCAGTGAATTGCAATGCAACCACAGAAGTGATTTCCCTACTACACTTTTCCTAGTGATCAGGGGTGAGCCCGTCCCTCCACCTCCACCAACC